CATAGACCAGTGATTCTCACCCAGAGGCGGTTCTGCCCCCAGGGAACATTGGGCAATGTCTGGAGACGTTTTTGGTTGTCATGACTCAGGAAATGCTATAGACATGTGGTAAGTCAAGGTCGGGGATGCGGCCACGCATCTTATAGCATTGTAGCTACAGCACAACAGCCTCCCCCAGGAAGGATGATTTAGACTCAAGTAGTGCCAAGAATGAGAAACCCCAGGATGGAGAAGGACACCAGTGAACCAAATTAGATCATTGAGAAACAACCCCACCCATGTACTAACCATTCAATTTTTTCATTTTTATTTGAGACAGAGAGAGAGAGAGAGCACATGTGAGCAGGGTTGAGGGGCAGAGGGAGAGTCTCAAGCAGACTCCATGCTCAACGTGGAACCTGACCCAGGGCTGGATCTCACGACCCTGGGATCAGGACCTGAGCCGAAACCAAGAGTCGGACGCTTAACTGGCTGAGCCACCCAGGCGCCCCAAATTCAGCTGCATTTCTATGTACTAAATAATGAACATTATGAAAAAAAATGGAGAAAACAATTTCATTTACAATAACATTGAAAAGAATAGGGGTGTCCAGGTGCCTCAGTGGGTGAAGCATCCAACTCTTGATTTCAGCTCAGGTCATGATCTCTTGGTCACGAGATCGAGCCCCACGTCGGGCTCTGTGCTCGTCATGGAGCTTGCTTGGGATTCTCTGCCTCTCTCTCCGTCTGGCCCTGACCCACTTGCATTCACAAGTGTGCACACATTCTCTTTCTCTCTCTCTCTCTCTCTCTCTCTCTCAAAAAATAAATAAATAAAATAAAATTTTAGGAAAAAGTTAGCCAAGAAAGTGAAACACTTACACACTAAAAATTACAAAATGTTTGGGGCGCCTGGGTGGCTCAGTCAGTTAAGTGTCCGACTTTGGCTCAAGTCATGATCTCACGGTTCGTGGGTTCAAGTCCCGCGTTGGGCTCTGTCCTGACAGCTCAAGCCTGGAGCTTGCTTCAGATTCTGTGTCTCCCACTCTCTCTGCCCCTCCCTTGCTCATGCTCTGTCTGTCTCTGTCTCTCAATAATAAATAAAAATGTTTAAGAAAAACTTTTAAAAAATTACAAAATGTTCCTGAAAGAAATTTAAGAAGACAAATAAATAAAAGGTATCCCATCTCCATGTATTGAGAGACTTAATCTTGTTAAGATATCAACACTGTCCAAAGTGATCTACAGAACCAATGCAATCCCTATCAAATTCCAGTGGTGGTTTTTTAAGAAATAGAAAAATCTATCATTAATTTCATATGGAATCTCAAGGGACCCCCAAATAGCCAAAACAATATAACAGACATTGTGATATTGAAATTTATAATATATATATATCATATAACTGATAAGGGATTAAAATCCAGAATATATTTTAAAACTTCTATAACAACAACAAGAGAAGAAATAGGCAAAGGAGTTAAGTAGACATTTCTTCAGGAAATACACAAGTGACCAATAAGAACACAAAAACATGGTCAACATCACTAATCATTAGGGAAACAAATCAAAACCACAATGAGGCACCATTTCACATCCATTGTTATGAAATCACAAGTGTCGGGGCACCTGGGGGGGCTCTCACATTTAAGTGTCCGGCTCAGGTCATGACCTCATGATTCTTGAGTTCGAGCCCCGCATCAGGCTCTGTGCTGACAGCTGAGAGCCTGGAGCCTGCTTCAGATTCTGTGTCTCCCTCTCTCTCTGCCCCTCCCCCGCTCACGCTCTGCCTCTCTCCAAAATAAATAAACATCAAAAAATTTAAAAAAAACAAGTGTTGGCAAAGATGTAAAGAAACTGAAATCTGTGTGTCTTGCTGGTGGGAATGTAAAATGTGCAGGTGCCTTGGAAAACATGGGACTTCCTAAAAAATGAAACATGATATTACTCTGATCCATCCCTCCTACTTCTGGATGGTATATACCTAAAAGAATTGAAAACAAATACTGATCAGATATTTTACATCAGTGCTCACAGCAGTATTATTCACAATAGCCAAAAGGTGGAAACAGAACACTTCAAATGTCTATTGACGGATGAATGGATAAACGAAATGTGATGTATACACACAACGGAATATTATTCAGCCTCGAAAAGGAAGGGAATTTTGACACAGGCCACAGGATGGAACAATCTTGAAAGATATGTGAACTGAAATAAGCCAGACGCAAAAGGACAAAGACTATGTGAATCCAATTATACGAGGTCCCTAGAATAGTCAAATTCAGAGGCCAGAAGAGTGGTGATTCCCAGAGACTGGGAGGGAGGGAGAAATGGGGGGGGGGGGGAGAAGGGGGGGGGGGGGGTATGGGTACAGAGTTTCGGTCACGGGGAAGGATGGCGAGGATGTCTGCACAGCAGTGTGAATGTCCTTAATGCCACTGAACTGGACACTTAAAAATGGTTAAACGTTAATTTTTTTTACATTTAAAAATTTTTTAATGTTTATTTATTTTCAAGAGAGAGGGACAGAGCACAAGCAGGGGAGGGGCAGAGAGAGAAGGAGACACAGATTCTGAAGCAGGCTCCAGGTTCCGAGCTGTCAGCACAGAGCCCCAAGCGGGGCTTGAACTCGCCAACGGTGAGATCATGACCTGAGCTGAAGTTGGACTTAACTGGCTGAGCCACCCAGGCGCCCCTAAAACGTTATCATTATTATTTTTTTTTTTTGCGTGGTGTCTATATCCCCACGAAAAAGGGGAAAAATGTATACTTTTGATAAATCAAAACTACAAAGTCTGTTCTGCCAAAGGTCATCTTTAGTAATGGAAGAGGCAAGACGCCAGCTGGGACGAGAAAGGTTGCCGATGCACGTAGCTAACAAAGACGTCGCACTCGAAACATAAAAGGAATCCTTACAATAATAACAGAATAAGCAGCTCAGTTACAAAGTGGGCAGAAGGTTTGAATCGCCGCTTGGCCAAAAACACAGGGACGGGTAGCAAGCACACGAAAAAGACGCTCGACACCACTGGTCATCAGAGAAATGTACACATCGAGGCCGCGGTTGTCCAGCCGCACGCGCCCGCCAGAATGACCACAAGTAAAAGGACGAGCCGCACCACGCGCTGCTGAGTGTGCGGGAGTCTCGGCCCCTTTGGAAAGGAGTGTGAAAGAAGACGGCCACTTTGGAAAACAGTCCGGCAAGTTCTTTCACACGCGCTCAGTGTCAACTCTGGCCATTTCACTCCCGGCCATTTAACCAAGAGCAAGGAAAGCCCAGGTCCGTGCAAAGCCATCTCCGTGAGTGTTCACAGCCACTTAATGTGTCGCAGCCTCAAATGGAAACAACGCGAGCGTTCATTAACTGGACGTGAAACGGAAAGGGAAGCCTCCTTGAAAATAGTCGGGAGGCCAGAAGAGGGCGCTCTGACGTCTTTTCAACTGATTGTCAATTGCGACCCTCCAACGGGAAAGAGGCGGACCTTGCATTTTCCAGCAGGAAGAAGCCTACTTTAGGACCCCAGGGGGAGGCAGGAAGGTTTTCTCCTCCAGCCCCGCCAGGGAGAAACTGCCACAACTCAGCCAATGAGAAACCATCACCACCCCGGACCCTCACTGTCCCCGAACCCTCAAAGCCACTCCACCCCTAACTTCCTTCTTTTTCTCTCCAAGGTCATGCTCGGCTCGGCTCCTTCGTTCTCTAGACTTGGCTAATGTTCTGCCATAGCTGGCGAGCCCCGATCGCAATTCCTCTGCCGTTCCCAAATAAACCCACTTTGCTGGTAAAATGACTGGCCGCTTTATTTCCAAGGCTGACTGACGTAGCGATTGGATGAACGGCATGTGGTTTGATCTTCAGCAATAAGAAGAAACGAACTCTTGATGCATGGGACAGCATGGTTGGTCCCTAAAACCTCAGACCAGCTGGTTCTGCCTTAGCCCGAGGCCTCCTCTCGCCCCCACGTTGGGCTCTGGTCTGAGTAAAAGCACCATGAACCGGTGGAAAGTCTGCTTTCCACGCTACTCAGGCATTGATTTAAAATGTGTAATGGTCCCTTTTAGGTCCAAATCCAAAAGTCTCCAGAAAACAGCCTGTGCAGAGGGCCAGGGCTGTGAGGGGTGGAGAGAGACCAGATCTGGAGGCATCTATTAATTTCCTGAGGCTGTCCTAGCTCAAAATACCTGCCGAGACTCTATATTCATCAGCTCACATTCTGAGGTTCTGGGTCTTGAATTTCGGGGAGACCCTATTGAAATGTGCAGGGGACCACAGGAGCCACAGCAGTTGTGTGGGCAGAGGTGCGTGCAGCCAGCTCTCAAGGGCACAGAAACCCCAAGGCACAGGCGCAACGGTGTGGAGACTGAGGGTCCAGGCACACAGGGCGGTGAGGAAGGGGTGCTTCAAGAGCAAGTCAGAAGGGGAGAGAAGCCACGTGTCAGGGAGGGCAGCACGAAGCAGCCCAATCATTACCTCGCTCTGCTGCTTTAAATACTCAGGTTTATTCGTTCACAGGCTTGGGGCAAGAGACACTGAGATTCACACTCGGATCTGACTGAGAAGATCTGAGGCACCAGCCCAATGATTTTTCAGAGAGCACAGAACATCAAGTGTCAAAGTCCGTTTACTTGATGTGCATGGTTGAAGTCTCTAACCAAAGTCAAGAGCATCCCCAGGACATGGGTTTGCCCAACCTAAGGGACCCTGTTCACCAGTGACATATTGGCAATCACTTCAGCATCACACAGCTCCCAGGCCTATCCCTGCCCAGGCCCAACTCGCTCTATGACTTCAGGCAACCTCACTGAGCCTTAGTGTATCCCTCTGTGAAGTGGGTTTATGGTTTTAAAAAAAATTTTTTTCATGTTTATTTATTTTTGAGACAGAATGTGAGTGGGGGAGGGGCAAAGAGAGAGGGACACACAGAATCCAAAGCAGACTCAAGGCTCCAAGCTGTCAGCACAGAGCCTGATGCAGGGCTTGAACTCACAAACCACGAGATCATGACCTGAGCCGAAGTCAGACGCTCAACTGACTGAGCCACCCAGGTGCCCCGGTTCATGGTTCTTAATAGATGCGATGGATAGGGCCCAAGCACAAAAAGGAAGACTGAAAACATTATTTCTCCTTTATCCTCCCCTCTTGCTCCCAAGGTCAAGGGCCATGTGATGTCTGACCCTTCAAAGGGAGGAAAACAGAGAGGCAGAAGGAGGAAGAGCTGGTGTCCAACTCTCAATGAATCTCTGGTTTGCTCTGTGACCTTGGTCAAGTTGTTGTCCCTTTCCAGGCCTCAGTTTCTCCATCTGTGAAATGGGGTGCAGGGGGATTGTGCCTGAGGACCTTCAAAATCCTTGCTAGGGTTCAGCCATATTCCAGAGAAGTGCTGGAGACTTTCTCAGACCCTAATCTTGGGCCCAGAGTTTTCCCATGTTGTCCAGAGGGGACCCCAACATCTTTCTATTGTATGTAGAGAAAAATCTGGCTTCGTTTTGAGGAGAGGGCAATAGTGCAGCACCTAAGGCTAGGGACTGGCTGGAAGAAGGAGGCTGGATAAAATGACCTCCTAAAGGCAGGGGTTCACCTCTTCCCATAGGGTGGGGACATTCAGTCCCATACTCATTTGCATAGGATGCAGTCCAGCCAATCGGAGCCCGAGGCTGTTCTCCTGTGGCCTGGGAGTGGCCCACCCCGAGGTTCCATCCCAGGTGGTCAGTCGCCTACTGGCTCAGAGGTCCGTCTCTCGAAGGTCCTGACCACGGTCACGTCCACTGCTGGGGGTCTGGGAGTCAGCTCCATTCACCTCCTTCTGCCCCAGGAAGAGCAGATGATCCTCATCAGTGGGCAGGAAGTCAGGAGGCCTCTTGGCTCCAGGGGACAGTTCCTCAGCACCCTGGAGGGAAGAGGGAAGAAGAGACCCTATCAGAGACCCCATTCTGCTCTGTGTCAGCTCATCCCCCAGATGGGATCACTGAGGCTGCACAATTATCCCCTTGGTCGGTGTATCAGCCAGTCCTGTCCTTTCTGCCTCCAAAATCTCCATCCACTTCTCTCCCCCAGTGCCCAGGTCACCATGAAAGCCTGCACGGACGCATACCTCCCTCTCTCTCTCTGACTTTCTGCCTGCTCCCCTTCAAGAAAATAAATATTTCCCCTCAGCAGCTGGAAGGAGCTTTAAAAACACTCTAGCCAAATCCCTTCCGTCCCCATGCTTCCCCCTCTCTCTCAAGCCTATGGCCTCTCGGCCTTTGCACCCACTGTGCTCTCCATGAAGAATGCCCTTCCCCCAGGTCTCCCGAGGGCTGGCTCCTCCTCCCTATGGGCTCTATCTCTTGCCTCTTCCAAGAGGCCACTCTCATCACAGTACCCTGTTTTATTGTCCTCATTACCTGCTGAGAATCTATTCAGTTCTCAGTTCAGCTCCCCCCTAGAGAGTGGACTCAAGCCCCAGCCCAGAATAGGCCTGGGGACCCAGGAGGTGCATAAGAAATGAGAAAATGAAACAGGGATTCCAAAGCAGGGGCAGGTCTGGATCAGGGACAGCATTTTTCAAATTCAGGGCATTCACATAGCAACCCCACGGCTTTGGCTGAGGTTGGTTTACTCCCTGTTGTGTTTCTTATGTAAGATTTTCTCTAAGTCGACTCAGTTTTGAGTTAAGTAATTGTATTTACAGGAGGGACTTTACATCAATACCCTAAAGGCAAACCAGTTTCACCTGCCATAGATTGGAAATAGTCATAAAAACAGATTACAGGGAAATGAATAGTATGAAATTCTGCTCAGTCTTTGCTAAAGGAGCTAATAAAAAGCGTTGAAGACACATCAACTCTAAGGGCACCTGGATGGCTCAGTTGGCTAAGTGGCTGACTTCAGTCAGGTTATGATCTCGCAGTTTGTGGGTTCAAGCCCTGCATCAGGTTCTGTGCTGACAACTCAGGGCCTGGAGTCGGCTTCGGATTCTGTGTCTCCCTTTCTCTCTCTGTCCTCCCCCTGCTCACACGCTCTCTCTCTCTCTCTCTCAAAAATAAATAAATATTAAAAAAGAATAAAAGACACTTCAACTCTCAACGGAGGCTTTCCATCGGGATAACAAGAGGCTGAGAAAGATAGTGACTCACCAGGTCCCTCCCCTGAATTATGGCCATGCCCAGAGCACCCAAAGTCATTTCACTGCCCTTCCCCCCTGCTCTGGGAGCCACCTCTGTGACTGACCTTCCCTAAGCTGTCATCCAAGGTATCCACTTCTTCCTTGGGGGCCACTGATGCTGTCTGCCGTGCAAGGTCCCACCACAGCAGCCCAGGACCCAATGCACTGCGCTTGGTGGGGCCTGAGGGAAATGGGGGTATTTAGTGAAAGGGCACTGGGGACCAAGTACAGGGAGGGGGAATGGATGGGGGACACTGATGGGTCCCTATCCTGGACTTGACAATGACCCACTTGGTGCCCTGGCAAGCCTCTGCCCTTCTCTGGGCTTCAGTTTTCTCATCTACACAGTGAGGGGATGTCATACACCAGTGGGTGGGTGGATGGGTCCAGTATGTGCCTCACTGCTTCCCCAGCATTTAGAATAATGCCTGGCACAGAAAAGGACTCAGTAAAGCCCAGGTGAGCGTAAAGTCTGAGACACAGGAAGCAAGAATAGGTACTGTGATCACTATTGATTTCTCTTGATCTCTCTCCACTTCTCTGTGGCGTCCAGAATTCCAGGAGGGACACGGAGTCGCCAAGGCCCTGATGAGAAGACATTTCAGCACAATGGACAGCGTCTCACAGCTCCACCCGGACGGCCTCTAGCAAAGACTTAGTTTCCCAGGCAGAGGAGGGACTAACGAGTCAGGTAGAAGGGGGAGGGCAGTGCCTGTTTCTGCCTTCGCAAAATGGGACAAGCCCTGTGAAGCACGCGAGGTGGGGTCCCAAAGACGACACAGCATAAAGGCTGCAGATGCATCCAGCACGTGGTGGCCACTTGGTGGACAATATCCTTCCTCTTCTCCCTGCCCAGTGGGTCCTGGAGGCGGAGGGATGCACAAGGTGATCTGAGGAGGCCCTACACCTTGCTTACCTGTCAAGCAGCTGACGAGGGCTCCAAATAGCAGAGTGCTCAGCGTTCCCAGGGCACCATAATAAAGATAGGAAATGGCATAGAAGCTGTCGGCTAAGACGGGTCGACCGGGGTCCATTCCAGGGCTGGGGGTGGGAAAGGCAGGCGTGAGTCCACTCCCAATATGTTCACTTCCTCTCATCTCTGCTGCCACGGCCTAACCCACTCTTCCATTATTGCTCATTCGTATGCGTGCAGTGGCCACTTCTCTTTCCCTGCTGCTAACCCACTCCCCTCCACAGGTGTTCTCTACACAAGCCAGAGGAGCTGCCAATGACATTTTAGGAAAAATGTAACTCAGATCACCTCCCAGCCCTGCTCACCACCCTCTGTGGCTCCCTGTGACCCTCAGAATCTACCAAATTAAACTCTTAGAAGAAAACAGAGTTGCGCATCTTTGTGACCTTGGATTTGGTAATAGTTTCTTAGCTCTGACACCCAAAACACAAGCAACCCAAGAAAATATAGACAAACTGGACTTCATCAAGCCTGGAAACTTTTGTGCATCAAGGGACACGATCAAGAGAATGAAACAACAGCCCACAGAATGGAAGAAAATATTTGCAAATCATACATCTGATAAGGATCTAGTGTCCACAATACATAAAGATTTAAAGAATATACAGATCACAACAAATTACAACGACAATAAAAAAAAAAGGACCCAATTAAGAAATGGGCAAAGGGTTTGAATAGGCATTTCTCAAAACAAGGTGTAAATATGGCTAATAAGCACATGAAAATATGGCCAATCATTAGTCAGTAGGGAAGTGCAAATCAAAAATACAATGATTAGAGCACAGAGAGATGAGCAAAACAGGTGGAGGGGATGGATGGAGGTACAGGCTTCCAGTATATTAAAAACCACTGAGTCATACACTTTTTGTTTGTTTTGTTTGTTTTTGTTTTAGAAAGAGAGGGAGAGAGAAAGCACATGAGTAGGGGAGAGAAGTAGAGGGGGGAGTGAGGTAGAGGGAGGGAGAGAGAGAGAGAGGGAGAGAGAGAGAGAGAACAAATCTCAAGCAGACTCCACATCACGGGGTTTGATCCCATGACCCTGGGATCTGAGTCACCCAGGTGCCCCAAGCTGTACACTTTAAAAGGGTGAATTTTATGGTGTTTGAATTATATTTCAGTTTTCATAAAACCTTGTACTAGTGAGTAATATTAGGAAAATAACTATTATGTTTTAGGAAAAAAGTTTTGATTTATAATATAAACTTTTATAGTTTATTTTTTAATTAAATTTTTTAACTTAAAAATTCTTTTTAATGTTTTATTTATTTCTGAGAGAGAGAGATATGGCATGAGCAGGGGAGGGTCAGAGAGAGAGGGAGACACAATCTGAACAGGGTCCAGGCTCTGAGCTAGCTGCCAGCAGAGAGCCTGACGCGGGGCTCGAACCCACGAACTGTGAGATCATGACCTGAGCCAAAGTCAGACACTTAACCAACTGAGCAGCCCAGGCGCCCCTTAACTTATTTTTTAAAGATGTTATTTTATTACTTAAAACAATATTTTTAAGTTTTTTTGTTTGTTTTTTGTTTGTTTGTTTTTTTAGAGATAGAGAGGCAGAGAGAAAAGAGAGAGAGAGGCAGAGAGAAATGAGAGAGAATCCCAAGCGGGCTCTGGGCAGTCAGCACAGAGACCAACGTGGGGCTCAATTTCATGAATCATGAGATCATGACCTGAGCTAAGATCAAGAGTTGGATGCTCAACTGACTGAGCCATGCAGGCACTTCAAGATTTTATGTTTAAGTAATTTCTATGCCCAGCATGGGGCCTGAACGCATGACTCTGAGATCAAGAGTTGCTCGTATCACTGACTGAGCCATCCAGGCACACCCCTAAAGTTCTGCAGCTTAAATATATTCATTAGGGGCACCTGGCTGGCTTAACCAGTTGAGCAACCAACTTCGGCTCAGGTTATGATCTCACAGTTTGTGGGTTCGAGACCCATGTCAGGCTCTGTATTGACACCTTGGAGCCTGGAGCCTGCTTCAGATTCCGTGTGTATGTCTCTCTCTCTCTGTCCCTCCCCTACTCACACTCTGTCTGTCTCTCTCTTTCTCTCTCTAAAAAATAATCATTTAAGGGGCGCCCGGGTGGCTTAGTCGGTTAAGCGTCCGACTTTTGCTCAGGTCATGATCTCACGGTTCGTGGGTTCGAGCCCCGCGTCGGGCTCTGTGCTGACTGCCAGCTCGGAGCCTGGAGCCTGTTTCAGAGTCTGTGACTCCCTCTCTCTCTGACCCTCCCCTGCTCACGCTGTCTCTCTCTCTCTCTCAGAAACAATTAAAAAACATTAAAAAAAAAAAAAAACAACTTGAAAACATCGTGCTGAGTCAAAGCAGCCAGACAAAAACGTCCTATGTTGGATAATTCCACTTATGAGAAATGTCCAGAAAAGGCAAGTCCATAGCAACAGGAAGCAGATTAGGGGTTGCCAGGGGCTGGAGGGAGGGGGAAATATGGAGTTACTGCTAATGGGTACCGGGCTTCCTTCAGAGCTGATGAAAATGTTTTTGAGTTAATAGCAATGGTCGTATAACCTCGTGAATGTACTAAAAACCACTTTTAAGTGGCTGATTTTAATGATATCTCAATAATATTTACAAGGATAAAGAATCAGACCAAATTCTTCTGGCTGGACCTCCTCTCCTAACCTTTCTCCTCCCCCTAAATAACCCCCAACCTCATCATAGTTGTAGTGCACTAACCTGAAGCCGACCTCAGGGCCTTTGCACTTTCCCTTCTCTCCCCTGGAAATTCCCTTCCGCACCTCTTCCCAAACACATTCCTCCTCTTCACTGGGTAACTCATTCAGAGTCCTTCCCTCTCAGGCCACGCCAACTATTCAGACCCGCCCGCTCACCGGGGGTTCTTGCTGGAGGTGTTGGTGACCAGGAGGCCAGAGGCGTTGGCTGAGGGCACCGCACAGCCGTCGGTGGCCGATGACGGCAGGACTCCCAAGGACTGGGCGCTGGGCGGGTATAGAGTGGCGCCCACCGCCACCCACAGCGAGAGCGCGAAGCCTGCGGCCAGCCCGGAGAGGACACCCTGGGGGCGGAGCCTAGTCAGGGGAGGGAGGCCTTTCCCCCTCCCGGCCCTGTGGCCCGCCCGCCCCTACTCACCGGAGTGTTGCAGGCAGGGAGAAACATTCCCAGGATGAAGGCTCCAAGGAGGGGGCCGCTGATGACCCCCATTACGGTGAAGGAGCCCTGCGACAGTGGGTGGGGGTGGGGGAGCTGAGGACAGAGCCACCCCGCCTCTCCTGGCTTCGGTTTCCCCCGCTGGGAAAGCAAGGCCCGAGGAATCGCAGCGTGGGTCTCCCAGCTCGTTTCCCTAAGGGGGACGGGACTCCCGGCTCCTGCCTCTCTCCCGCCGCGTTGGAGGCCAAGATGCCGATTCTCCGTCCTGCAAATTCTGGTCCCACCTCCAGCTGCCACCAGCCAGGTGGCTGCAGAATGTATCAGGCTGGTGGCGTCAGACAGAACCCAGTTCCGCCACAAAAAAAAGCTAGGGCCCCCTTTGGACTCCAGTTCAGTGTAGATGATGCCTTGTGGGGAGGGGGCTGGGGCCGGGAGGGGGGCTCACCTCGAGGACGCCTCCCCCCAGCAGTGAGGACAGCGCTGCCACCGTGAGACAGGACGAGCCATAGATGAGCGCTGTGGCGGACCGGGCGACACAGACGACACTCTCAGCCGGGGGAAGCTCCCTGCCCCGCCCCCTACACCTGAGTCCCTCCCCCCACCTCCCCTCACTCACAGAGCCCCTTGGAGATCATTACGAGTCTCCGGGGTGGGAGGTTTGGCTTCCAAGGTTTGATGAGGTCCTCCACGGTGACTGCAGCCATGGCATTGATGCTAGTGGACGCGGTGCTGCGGGTGGGGAGGGTGGTCACAGGCCACATCAAGGGACTGGGCCCCCCCCCCCGCCCACCTGCTGGGGGAGGCCCCAGCTGCTCAGGACATCTGACTTCCCAGGACCCCACCCGCCCAAGGGCAGAGGCATGGATGACAGAATACCCCGAGAGCGGAAGAGATGTCCACTGCCCCACCATCCGCACCCCCAGACCTGAGACACCCCCATGGGCGCAAGGACACTCATGACCAAGGAACGACACAAGTTATCATTACAGAGCAATAGTGGGGCACAGAGAACTGGTGCACGGAGCAGGGATGGGACAGAAAACACCAGAACATGAGGCCCCTGAGGGGCAGGAGTGGGGGACCACTTGGTCACAGCCTTGCCCTGGGATTTTAGAACAGCGCAGCACATAGCAGGTGCTCAATAAACATTTGTTTTGCCGGAAGAAGGAAGGACAGAAGGAAGGGAGAGGGGAGAGGTGTGGCCTTCTGGGGGGATAAGAAGGTGAAAACCCCACTTATACTCAAGGCGTGCCTCCTGCTGGGGCCCCCCTGAGCAGCCCACTGGGGACCAAGCAGGAGCTTGATGGACAAGCCCAGAACATTCTATCCCACAGGGGATCAAATGTGGCCGGTTGAGCCCGCGGGGCTGCTCACCTGAGGGTCCCACTGTAAGCACAGGCCAGAAAGAGCCCAGGGACTCCAGGCAGGTCCTTGAAGATGTCCAGGACCAGCAGGGGCATGTACTGGGGGGAAGCAGAGGTCGACCTCCAGGACAGCAGCACCCCAAGGACAGGGGATTCTGTCTGTCCTCACACATGTCCCCAGGGCCCAGTGCAGACCAGGCTCACAGAGGGCACTTCGTGTGTGTTTGCTGATTGACTCTCTGAGCCCCACCACGCACAGAGCCCTGGGATCCCAGTGAGGCAGAGTCCAATGTCATCTCCACTTTATCGGTAACGACAGTAAGGCTCATAGGTGTCGTCCCCGCCTGCGGCTGCAGCGTCAGGGTCTGACCCCAGGGGAGGACAGCAGATGAGAGAGCCTTCCATCTTCTGTTAATTCTGAACTGGCTCTGGACCGGGCATAGGTCCTGGCTCTCGTGCTGCCCCTGACTTGCCTGTGGACCCCAGGGCAGTTGCTTCCCACCTACTCCAGCCTCAGTTTCCCCCTCTGTGAAGCGGGGGCCATGATGGCCTTGGCCTCATCATGTGTTGAAGGATTTTATGGAAGACCAACTGCTTGCAAAGGGAACAGCATGAGGCACAGAATAGGCGCTTGGGACATGAGAGCTGGCGATTATTATTAATACCAACACTATCATTTCATGCTGGATATTCCCCTGAAATCCCTCAGGGAGTCTGACTCTGAACCTGAATGTGCCCCGCCCCTACTCATGCCCTCTTCTCTCCCCCCTCCACACTGCCTCCCAGCCTCATCTTCCCCAATCCTTCCAGACCCTCATTCCTGCCTCTGGACTTCCTGCCCCTGGACTTTGGCACTCTTCTCTCTTCTGGGAATGCTGTTTTACCCTCATGCCCAGAGGTTTACCCAGGCAGAAATTTGGAGTGGGGGCGGGGAGGGGAGCAGTGGCCTAGAAGCCTGGGCCAGACGTACCTGGTCTGGGGCAGAGATTCGCCCTGCAAGGAGAGGGTCGCAGTCTACATAGACCGTGAACATGACGATGCCACAGACGCTAGCACTGAACACGATCAGGATCAGGCCCAGCTGGTTGATGAGCAGGGCCCTGCGGGGAGGGGCAGCCTCAGGCAGAGGAGGAGGGCAGCACATCCCAGAGGCCCCCACTCTGCCCCTCCTGAACACTCACAGCTTGGCCTGCTTCTCTGTGCGACAGGCCACATAGCGCTGCACCTGTGCTTGGTTCACGCCGTACATTGAGAGCCACACCAATGTGCCGCCCACCACAAAAGTCCAGAATGTGTAGCGGCTCCGTGGGTCCAGGTTAAAGCTGGATAAGGGCAGGGCAAGACAGCCGTATGGGAATCCATACTGACTTCACCTTCTCAAGGGCCCCGGATGGTCATTCTGGACCTTATGGGCCTTAAGGGGATTTTTGGGGTGGGTTTTGAAGTGTGAGTAGAAGTTTGCCAGATTGAAAATTTATTTATTTGTTTATTGAGTCGACCATGTATGCATTCAAAAACCATTCTTCCTGTGCCCAGCTGGGACCTCAGAGAGACTCCAGTCTCCAGTCTGGGCTGGGGGACGTAGTGGGACAGACGGAGGGGTGGGGTCTGGGGGGGGGAAGAGAGGGGAAACAAAGGTTTTGTCTGTGGGGAATCTGGGGAGGGGAGCAGGGAGGGATTCCTGGAGCAGGAGGCATTGGCTGGCTTCTCCCGGGGCAGAGGGATTTCAGCTCCAGCTTTTTACTCACTCTACCAAGTTGATCCGGGAGTGGTTCTGGGCAATCTCAAGCACGTGCCGGGGCCCACCCACCAGCACGGTCCCGCGGGCCAGGACCACCCAGAAGCCACTTAGCATCACCACGACCTGAAACACATCAGTCCAGACCACAGCCTTCATGCCGCCCTGCAAGATGTGACAGAGAGGGAGACGGGGTGGGGTGGGGGTGTCAGGCGGGGATCTGCCTGAAGCCAACCCAGTTTGGCTACCGGCAGTCGCTGGGACTGATGCCCCTCTCTGCCTGTTTCCTCGGCTGTAAAATGGTGTTGAGATGGGGATTTAATTAGTTAATAGGAGGAAAACATCTGGAATAGCACCTGGCACACACGAGCGTTCGGTGAGTGAATGAGTGACGGCTGCCACTATCATTATGGCTACTCCTCGTATTATTATCAGCAGTTGTTTGTACCCCTTCAGCCTCCATAACTTTGCCTGCCCATGGAAGTCCCTGGATTTTCCTTTGGAGGAGCCCCTCCTCTCTCGAAGGCCATTCATGTGAAGCTATTGTACTCCCACCTCCAGAAATAGCCAGCCACAACATCTCCCCGGCCCCGCAAACTTCTGTGGATGGCTCATCCCACATGCAAGACTGAGGCCAGCTGAACAGAACCCTCCTGGGACTTTGGCCAGTCCATCCTGAAATAGGAACTCACTTCCCGAGCTGATGTGACCCTAAAAGATGGGAGAGGGACCAGGAAGATGCTGTTGTAGCCCCTGGATCCAGCCAGTCCTGAAGCTAGCGCATCCCTGGACTCTCAGCAATAGGCCTTTCAAGTTACTTTTCATTATTAAGATGAGGAAACTGACGATCAGCTGGGATGCAGGCTTCTTTGGCAGAAAGGGAAAGTAGGGAGTGGATGATGGCCTCAGGGTGTACCCCACTCGGTGGGCGTGGAGCCCCCCTACGTGGGGTGGGAGTGGGGGGGGTCACTCACCACAGCCGTGTAGAAGGTACAGATGGCTCCAGTGGACAGGAGCGATGCCCAGATGTCCAACCCAGTCACTGTGCAAGGAACCGCCCGCATTAGGCCTCCAGGCAGGGTGCAAACTTGGCCCCAGTGTCTAGGGCCGTCCTCTCTCCAGGATTCTCCCCTCCCAAGTCTCTCCTGGGGCCGCTTCTCCTCTTTCCTTGAGTCTAGCCTTGAAGCCTTTGCGCCCTCCTCCTCACCCCCCCCCCCAATCTAGAATCAAACCTTGATTCAGGATGAGCGCGGGGGCGTAGATCACGACGCCAGTGTACAGCACCTGCGAGTAGAGAGCGCTGCCAGGTGAGGCCCACGGAGAGGTGCGGGGGAAGGAGTAGGAGAGAACAGCGGTGCCGGAGCTCTCGGCATCGGCGGGGGACGAGTAGGGGACCCGCAGGGGGAGAGGGGAGGAGTCAGGGCTGGTGGGCGTGGCCTGCAAGACGGGGCGGGGTCAAGAAAGGAGTGGAGGGGCGGGGCCAGAGAGCTTGCGGACGGGCCTGGGCGGGGTCTTGTGGGATTGGAGCGGGACTCACGCGGACGGGACCCCGTCGTGGTGGATGGGAGAGGGCTGTGGACGGGGCCGACGAAGAATGACTGAGACCCTAGAGAGACCTGAGCGGGACCCCGGAGGCAAGGGCATGGCCGAGGCCACTCACTGTGGCCACCAGGTACTGCAGGGTCCCGCAGAGCCGCACAGCGCGGGTGAAACGCAGCTCCAGATACTGCAAAGAGGGGCTCGTGGTCACCTGGGCGGGTCCTCCCCAGGAGATCGAGGCCTCGGGGGTTCTTCACCCGCCCTCATGGCCTCTGCCCTCCCTCTGGAGGCCAAGTTTGCTCTCCATTCTTCCCTGTGGGGGCCCCCGCCAAGCGCACACATTCCTATCAGTCTGCGTACACCTGTGCACAAGGCGTGGGTTCGGCAAGACTGATCCGTCAAATGTGCACACGTTCCTTCGCCCCCACTGGTGGCCAACTGGCCCCCCGGGCGGCGCCGCTCTGAATAAACACGCGAACAATACAGAGCCTGCAGCCAACTGTTATAGGTCTCCTGTGTATACCGGTCACGATTTTAATTGCTTTACCTGCTGCCCTGAAGGGAGGTCCTCTAATTGAGCTCAGTCTGACACTTGGGGAACCTGCGGTTTCGAAGCCCGGGCCGGCGGTCCGGCGATGGCTCGGATGTGTGCACGCGCAGGCATGTGGGGGGCAGGTGCCTGCCCACACTTAGTGCACATCTGGCTCCGCCTTTCGCGGGCTTCCACCAAGGAGAACCGGGACGGTGGCTCCTCTTCCTCCTTCCTGCCCCTCACCCTACTGCCTGGGGCTACTTCCCAGAACCCTCTCGGTCCGTCTGCCGGCCCCACCCCCTCCCCATTAAGGCACCCAGGAGCCCGCCTGCGGCCCCCTGCACGAGACTTCAAAGCCCCAGGGCCTCCCCGCCACATCCCTGCGTTCCCGGCCAGGCAGGCCCTGCCTCCGGGCCTCTGCCCGGTACCTGGTATGTGCTGGTGAGGCCCAGGCGGTAGAAGACGGGCAGGAAGAGCACCGCGGTGAGCAGAGAGTTGAGCGACTGGCCCAGGCACATCCAGATGAACTTGAGGCCGTAGCGGTAGGCCTCGGCTGGCACGCCCAGCACCTGTACCGCCGACATGAAGCTGGCGGCCAGCGAGAGGCCAACGGGCAGGGCCGCCAGGCGCCGGCCGCCGGTGAAGAAGTCCTCGGCGCTGCGCTGCCCGCCCCGCGCCAGCCCGACCCACAGCCCGATGCCTGTGGACACCAGCAGCATGAGGGCGAAGACCCCGTAATCCCAGGGTCCAAAAGTGGCCCGCGCCCCGGCCTGGACGGTGGCCATGAGGTGCGAGGACGGGGGTGGGGGCGCCAAGCGCGTCCTCGGCCCTTCTAGCCTCCCCGCGCGCCCCGGGCAAGGGGAACCGGCAGCCGCCGAGGAGGCAGGACTGCGGAGGTGGTAGGATGCTCGGTCCCTGCAGCGAGGCCGCACCCGTCTCCGTGGCTCCCTGGAGGGAGGCAGCGGGAGGGACTCGGGCAGGGGTTCCCTGGACAAGGGATCTGTGGCTCCTCGCTGCGGTCGCCTGCCTCCCCGTTCCCCCCTCAGCATCTAGGGTCTGCCTCTGCCGTCTGTCGGTCCGTGCACCGCGCCTCTGCGTCCGTCCGGGTTCCCCAGCGCAGCGGTGTGTGCACCGCCCGGCCGTCGGTCCCTCTGCCCGGGGGCTGTGCTCAGCGCTGACAACCGGCGGCCTCCGGTGGCCTCCGTGGGACTTAAAGGGGCAGCTCCCGGCGACCGGCTGTGGATTTATTGGGCTCCCCGGTGCGCGAAACTCCGCCCCTGCCCTCGGGGGCGGGTAGGACCCGCACCCTTTCCGCGCAGGACCGGGTCAGAAAGGCCAAGACCGGCCACGTGGGTGGCTGCTGGGGGTGGGGTGGGGGAGGCTCCCAAACACCCCTCTTGCTTTGTGTGGCGGTTTCCTCTCGTCACAAGCTGTTCATGTCTCCCGTTGGCAGGTGGGGAAACTGAGGCTCAGAGAAGGCATGTCACTCACCGGAGGCCACACCGCTGGGAGCAGTGGCTTTAACATTCAAATCTCCGCTGTGTTTTTGTACCTTAAGCTAAGGGGAGCTCACTCCCCCACAGGGCAGGGGTTCACTTTCTGGGTTGTCCTGCCGCTTGAACCCCTCCCAAAACTGGCACCTGGACCCACTCCCTTTCTCCAGAGCCTAGTGGGAGGGCATCACTAAACCCCAACCTCAGGCTAAGCTGAGTGGGAAATGTTGGGGTTCAGGTCTTAAATACACACATACTTGGGGGAGTCTCTGTCTTTGGGCCTATCCCCCCATCTGTAAATGGACGTAGAATAGCCCGTGCCTCAGAGGAATACATGGAACTTGCATTATACAAGCCCTGCACAGAGTAAGCGCCTCTTTCATTCTTCATTCTTTGTTGTTTCCTGCACGGAACCGGCAAGGAGCCGCCGGGCCCTGCCAGCCATTAAGTGTATGCATAATGGAGGTCATGGGGGAGGGGCTGTCAGTGGCCATGAACCAGAATACATGCAGAACCACGACTACTTGGGAGGTAGTGTCTAGCATGTTCCCATCGCACAAATGAGCCCATCCAGTTTGGGGAGGGCAAGTCCGTTGCCTGCGGTCATGCCATCAAAGGACGCAGACACTGTCGTCTTGGGGCCCTTCGCTGGTGGACCAGAGGGACTTTGGCTTCTGGAGGCTCAGACCTCTGTGTTGGAGCCCTGACTTGGTCTCCCCAAACTCCCTTCTCCACGAGCGGGAGGGATCAGAACCGCTGGGTTTTCTGGGAGGGCACCGGCGTCCTCCCCAAGCCTCTGCCGCCCCCTGGTGGTCTCCTCTGGACACCCCACCCCACGGGACTCCGATTCTGCGGCTCCCAGGCTCCCACACGGGCGTCAGTTGCCCGCTGTCATGCGCTCCTCAACGCGGGCCAGGGGGGTGGGGAGGATACCAGTTCCTTTCCTTCCTCCGCCTTCAGTTTTCCAGGCCCCGGCTTGCAGCACCCTCCTGAAAAATCTGGTGGGAAAGGGGAAGTCCTGGTGGGGATCCCCATCCCCAAGTCATGCAAACGGATGCAAATTTTTCCAGAGCTGGCAACCTAGTCCACCTGGCCAGGGAGGTTCTGGGAGTGGTTACCACGCCCCTGCCGGCCTCTCTCCCTCTGCTGTGGGAGGCTACAGACTGACCCTCAGGTTGAGGCGCATTCCCTGAGCGCCTACTGTGTGCAGAACCACCCACCAGCTCCTGGGGGCACAGGAGGCTGCTCACAGGCACACAATGACCGGGTCAGCAGGTGAACACACATTCCAGAAGCTGATGGGTGGGTGGTGAGAGTGAAGTCAAGTCAGAGACGAGCTGGCCGGGGGTAGGGGGGGGCGACTTTATGTGGGGCTTCTGGGAGGGGGGCAGGCTCTCTGAGGAGCTGATTGCAGACCCGCAGTCAGAACGAGCCAAGCTTGGAGAGAGCAGGGGGAAGGGCACTTGAAGCAGGGGAACAGCCGGTGTGAAGGCTCTGAGGCAGAACAAGTGGAGTGAGCAGAGTGAGTGGGGACGGGGAAGGCCGCAAGGGACCTTGAGCCTTGGCAAAGTGTGTGTTTATCTGCGGGCGCTGATGGTGGAGTTTGGAGCAAGAGAAACCTAAAAGACTTGTAGATTCTGAAAAGCCCACTGCCACACCCAAGGCAGGTGGGGTGGGGAGAGATGGGTGGGTTCGGGACGTGTTCTGGGAACCCTGAAGAGCTAGGTAGGACCATCTTCTCTGGGGCTGGAGGGGTACCGGGAGCCGGGTGGTGAGATGTACCTTCCCTGACTATATGGTTCCCATCACAGGACGGGGAGGGGGCAGGCAGGAACCCACCAGTGAAGGAGGGGCAGGGAGATCCCTGAAAGCCCAGCAGCTGGGCTGAGCACAAGGGGCAGGAAGGTCAGGACATCACACGGGTATCTGTTGTCCCCACCCCTGCCCACCGCCCAGGCACCCCCAGTGTGCTCCCCCAACTCCCTGCTTATGAGCTACTGTGGCTCCAGCAGGACTTCTTCTGGGTGTCTGTCCTTGAACTTCTACCTTGTACTTTTCATAAAAGCAAACTTTTTTACTAACAGTGCTGTCATGTTCTGGGAGATTCCAGGATTCCCAAGTCCTGAGGATCCCACCATTCTGTCTCTCTTGGTTTCAGGATCTGGGTCAGGTCTTCTGGGGACCCCACCCATCAGGCTGTGCTGTCTGCCCTTGTCCCTGATGGTCCCCACTCAGGAGTGAGGAATGACGCTTGGCACCTGGACAAACCCAGGGACAGGATCTGGGAGCCTCAGCGCCTGAGGCGGGAGGCATCCGCCAGGGCCTTGCGGGTTCCACATTCTTGTCCTTGTCCTCCGGAGTTGGTGGAGTGATGAAATACCCTCCTCCTCCCTGGGCCCCGGCCCACAGGAGGCCAGCCCTGCCTCATGGGCCTCGTTGGAGGCCAGCCCTGCCTCATGGGCCTCGTTGGAGGCCAGCCCTGCCTCATGGGCCTCGCAGTGAAGGGCCCAGTGCCGCCGACTGGGGGCTTGTGCTCTGCTTGGTTCCAGCACCTCAATCACCTCTGGGGAGTGGGGATTCGGTTCAGCCACCCGCACCTCCTGCCAGTGTCCTCACTGCTGTGTGGGGAACTCTCAAGTGGCCGGGGACATAGTAGAGGGAGCTGGGGTGCACTCAGGCTCAGTTCAAAGGCCCCTCAGTAATGGGAGACCCCACCCTCTGGCTGGTTGGGGCAGAGCCCTCCCAACAGGTTGCCAGGCTGTATGTAACTTGGATGAAGCCTTGAGGAAACCCCAAGTTGGGCACGGGGGTGCAGGGGTCCTTCCCCTGTCCTGGTGACGCACCGGATCTCTAGCCCCCTTCACACAAGAAGGAACTAAAGCTGAGTGGGTGGTGACTGGCCCCAGGGACAAACAGCAGGGCCCACCTATCACTGTGGAAGCAGGACCCGTGCATGTTCGAATCCTGCAGACGCAGGGTCAGGTACCCAACGCCCTTCCCCTTCCACCTTGTTGCTCAAGTGTGGCTTCCCGAAGGCCAAAGCGAGCTGCCAGAGCCCTGGGCATTGGGCCTCTAATCCAGCCAGACAGGGATTCCCAGGCAAGGGCAGACTTCACCACTGCCAGCATCACATGCTTACCCCCAGGTGAGAAAGCTGGAAAATGGACTTTTTCTTTCTGGGCGGCATCTAAATATGGAGATCCAATCGCTGAGCAAGGAGTATTTGCAGCAACTAGGGGTCTCTACCTGAAGTCACAAAAGGTGAAGGACATCAAGGCAAAATTCGAAAACTCTAGCCTGCCTCCCAAAACACACCTTAAAAGACATCATGAAATGCCCTAGAAAAAAGTATCTGTACCATCTATGGGGAGAAAGGTGTACTTTTTTCAAGTCTTTCCCCCCACATCTGTAAAGGGCTTTAGAAAACAGTAACTTAGTGCCTCCCTCCTAAGAAAAAGCACCTTCAAATCCTAAGAAGTGATTTTTCTTCAGCCACCAGTTTGCTCCCCCGTGGTGTTGACGGCAGGAAGGAAACAGGCTCCCTCATGGGAGAGCAAACTAGTGCATCTGCGGGGGGCGGGGCGTTAGATCAAAATTAAAAACCCATCGTTGGTCATCCTTTGTTACAGGTACAAAGGTAGGGAGAGTCACTGGCTGTCCCTGCCCTCTCCATCTGGTGGCACAGAGAAAACCCAACGAGGGTCCCACGAATAGACGTGTGGCTTACGCTCGGAGCCTTCCCCATGTCGACAGCTGCTGCTTCGCATGAGCCCTGCCTGGGGCACCTCTCCAAGCAGAGGTGGGGTTTGAAACCACCCAGACTGATGACACCAACTACCACCCTCCCCACAAGGGGGAGGGGAGGCTGCTCCCCAGCACCCACAGCACCCAGACTTTTGGGGCCTGCCCTCTCCCCAGCCGGGGGCTGCCTGCAACAGAAGGCAGAACCTGACTGACCTCTGTCCCCTGTGCCTGTAGTTGTGACACTACAAGTACCGTCAATGGAGTACAGGAAACCTGCCCCGTGCCCTCAACTGAGGAGGACCACAGGGCTCCAAGGGCTGGGCTGCCCCATGCCACACCCCAACCCTAAGACCTGTGCTCCTTCCCAGCTGTGTCTCAGCCTGACTGCCGGGCTCGGCTGGGGTCAGATTAGCTCCCTGCCTAGAATTCCCCAGGCCTTCGGTGGTTTCCTGGAGACAGATAACCAGTGAGGCCTTCACCCCCTCGGGCAGGATTAGGTTGTCCTTCAAGGGGGCCCCAAGCCAGTGAAGGACAAACTCCCCCAGCACAGCAAGCTCACGTCCCTCTCCGGTGCCCTCACGTCCGCTGCGAATCCCAGAACCGAAGACTAGGGTTCTAGGCCTGGAAGGGAAAACCTGTGGGTGGAACGAACCGACCCGATGATCCCAATTCCTTTCAGGCGTCCAGGCGCTGCACCTTCCCACAGACCCCAGGAGAGTGGTGGCCTGCACCTAACAAGGCAGGTGGGACAGGTTTAGGGGCCACACTTGTGGCCTGCGATGTACTCCAAAGTGGAGGGCCATCTGATGGGGCTGAAAACCGGGGCCTCTGGCTCTCGGACCCTGCCCCTGATGGCCTCTGGCTGGCTGGAGTCCTGGGGAGCAGAGAAGGAAGGAGAGGGCTTGGGGGTGTGGCCTTCTCATTCCTAGGGCTCCCCTTCTGGAGAAATCAGGCGTCTGGGCCCCACTTCAAGAGAGGAGGACCCTCCCGGAGCAGAGGACTCACAGCTTGGCTGCGCCCTTTTGAGTTCTGCAGGGCGTACAAAGAACACAAGCATCTCTGCGCACCCTGGTTTCCACAAGGAGTTTATTTGGGTGGACCCGGGGCCAGGGAGGCTGTGCATCTAAAAGAAGGTGTTGGGCCTCTTGGTGGTGAAGCGTGGCTTGTGCTGGCGACGCAGGACCCGGTGGGGCAGCGGGAACTTGATCTTGGAGTCCTGTGGTAAGGAGAGGCGGGTGAGGGGACAGAGCCTCTTAACCTGGTTTTCCAGGGACTGCTGAGGTGTGGCCACCCCCCACGGGGCTCCTGCGTCAAACCCAGTGCCTCCCTGCAGCTCCCGGAGCTGGGGGACAGGGGAGCAGCTAGGCCACCTCCACGTTCCAAGAGAGACCCCTCCCCCAGCCCACCCAGCAGCAGGGCCCCCAAGGCACCCACGTGGAACTGCTTGACTGCTGGCCGGCGGCACTTGCTGGCTGCGATCTCTTCCACCTTCATGATCTGGATGGAGTGGGCGCGGGCGCGGTGCCGGGCGCCCATGTCTCGGTCTGCAGGAGGGGCAGGGTGAGCGTGTACCACGGGGCCCTGCGCGCTCCTTAAACCTCCCATCAAGTGCTGACCCAGAAGGATCCGAACCGACATGGGCCAGCAGGAGTGTAGAACCTCCAAATTCACTTTGAGGAGCACGGCCACAGCCCCTCAAAGGCGACGAGATCCACTTACTGTCAGCACCTCTGTTTAAACCGCTATTACAAGAAACAGCAGTTCTTGGGTTGAGGTGCTTGAGTTCCAGCCCCGGCAGGTAACCCGCCACTAGGATGGCACCGCATCCTAACAGATGGGGCCTGGGCTAGATTCTGGGTGGGAATCCTGTCTACACGGGCGATCAGCTCCAAGGGTCCCCCTGCTGCCAGCTTCCAGGAAAAGGTGCACCCGGAGCATCCTTTCCACTCCTGTCCCCTTAGCGAACACTGCCTCCGCATCCCAATGGCCTTGCCACCCACTTCCCATCCAGCCTTGGTCTGAACGAGTAGGAAGCCACAGGCAGATGAGTTCCATCCTCCAAGGGGAGTCTAAAGGCGGGACCAGGGGGCACCTGGATGGCTTGGTCGGTTGAGCATCCGACTTCGGCTCAGGTCATGATCTCATGGTTCGTGGGTTCAAGCCCTGTGTCGGACTCTGTGCTGACAGCTCAGAGCCTGGAGCCTGTTTCAGATTCTGTGTCTCCCTCTCTCTCTGACCCTCCCCTGCTCACGCTGTCTCTCTCTCTCTCAGAAATAAATAAAACGTTAAAAAAAAAAAAGATGTAAAGGCGGGACCGGGTTGTGGCCACCAGCGGCTTACAGCACTGGGTGACGGCGCCTGCGGTCGTCAGGTCCCGGTACTCCCGGTACATGTTGTGGGTGCCGCTGCGGGAGTCGTAGCGCAGCCAGATGCCGAAGTTCTTCACCCGCAGCGGGGACTTCTCGAACACCTGCCAGGGAAACCGGCTAAGGTTGGCGTGGGGAGTGGCCCAGGCCCAGCTTCTACCACCCTTGCTGACCAGCTGCCCTCGCTTACCAGCTGCCCCCACTGCTCCAAGGAGAGCCCAGCCCCAGGTCTCTCTCATGCCCTTTCCCAGCCTTTGAAAACCAGCTGCCATTCGGTGCGGCCATATGATGCAGAGTTCAGCGCGCACTCAGCCCAGGTGTCCCAGCATGTCGGCCACACCTTTTGGCGCCCAGGGCTCCCACATTAGGAAAAGGGCACAGAGGTATCCGTCCCAGGCTGACCTGGGGCCTAACTAGCACATACGAACAGCCTAGGGGTTGTGAAGCCTGGGAATTCTGTGCAGTGAGGAACGCCCCCACAGCAACGTGTAAATCCGCGCCAGACCTCACCCGGTCTCAGCGCTGCATACCTGTCCACAGTACACAATCTCCCCCGAAGACTTCTTCATCTTCTTCAGCTGAGAAACAAAGTACCAGAAGCGGGACTTGGCGACAACATGATTAGGTGCAAAGATTCGCATGCGATACAGCGGCGGAGTGCGGCACTTCGGGGTGGGCAGGCAGCGCCCCACCACCTTGTACTCTCGCAGCTGAAAGAGAAAAAGGGATGAGGGGAGGCCTGGCCCAGAGCTCTGAGGCAACAGTGAAAATGGACCTTGCTCCCCTCCCCAGTATGGATCAGGAGATCGAGAAGACTATTCCATCCCAGAGCATCCATGTGGAATCATCCATGTGGAATCCTGATGACGGAGTCAAGCCACTGTCCGAACCTTCCCACGACAGGGGCTGAGGGCACAGAGGATTAACTAAGGTGCTCTTTGCCTGTGCTCTGTCTGGAAAGCTGGGCAGGGCTGTCAATCTTGCTGTCCATTCCCCTTGCGTTTATATTCCCGGGGAAAGCTGAAGCCTAGGCCAGCAGCCTCTTAACTCTATGGCATCTTTGCAGCTCACTACATCTTTCCAAAGTCCTTTTACTCGGGAGCCCACAGACAGAGACCAGCCTGGGATCTCACAGCAAACTCCAGGCAGAACCAGGACAAAAATCCAGTTCCCTCCCCAGCCCTGCTACCATGGGACCTGCAGCTGCCTCAGTTTCCCCAGCAGCAGTCCAAGAGGTTTGGACTTCCCAGTGGAAACTCCCTGTTTATACAAAGATGTCGGCCAAGACCAAACCCTGCGATACAGTACAAAGGAACGTATCTATAAAGGGCTTGCTATTTCACTAATGTAAGAAAATAGCACCAATTACCCCCAAACTGAGCTCGTACTCTCATCTCCCAATCTGACTAATCAGCCCCGCGGGCTACCTGTTCGGGAAGGGCTCGATGCAGCTGGCCTGACGCTGGGGAGCTGTACGTGACCCCCGTGGGGCCCGAGGGTTTACAGTTTCCTTCTACTTCTCTCACAGCCACGCCAGGAGACTAATATCATTGCATCCTCCCACCGTGTCCTTTTGCAAAAAAATCCCGGAGACTCGGAGGCTCAACAAGGTTCCAGTGGTCGAGCGTCCAAGTCGCGCAACTCGTCCCTTCCCCCGGAAAGGAACCCCGGCCTCTCTGGTCCCCCAGATTCCCAAGCCGGCCGGGAGCATGGCACCAGCCTCCCCACGCGGCGCCCGCAATGGCCGCCATGTTGGCTGCACCTGAAGGCGGCGGCACGCGGTAGCGCGAGACAACGCCGGGCTCACGCTCCCCCTAGGAGGCCCACGCCGCCTGCCGGGGTCCCGGATTCGATCCGCGTCGCACTTCCCGGCCCCCAGCCCCACCGTGCTCGTCTTACCGTGCCCGAGGCCTTCATGGCGCACCCTCCGCTCTCGCCGCCACTCAGGAAAGGAAGTGACCGCCCTCGCGCAGCCGCTCACCACGACTTCGTTGACGGAAATCCCGCCTCCTGTGAACCGCACGCCCATTGATTTCTCGGCCCGGCGCTCAACAAGATATGCGTTTTCATTGAATAGGGATCCACCAATCTCTCATAGCCCCGCCTTCCCTCGCAACAGGACTACAACTCACAGGTGGCAGCTCTACTAGCCCCTCCCCTTCCACCTTGGCCTGTAAGGGAGCCTGGGAGTGTCAAGGCACGCCGGGAGTTGTAGGCACGTTAGGAGGTCTGGGTGGCCAGCTGAGCGTTCCACTTACCGGGATGCTCGTGTGTAGAATAAATAAATAAATAAAATTTTTATTGAATTTATGTCTTTACTTCTTTATAGTGCATGGAGTGCCATTTTATAGTGTAATATTTTAATTTTTAAAAATTTTTTTCCTATATATGTTTATTATATTTTTAAGATTTTATTTTTTAAGTAA